CAACATCTTCTGAGGCAATGGGTATCTGATTATAGCCTGAGTACCCATCTAAGAAGCAGTAACATCTATGTCCATCCACTTTCTCGAGCATTTGATCAATGAAAGGGAGTGGGAAGTGGTCTTTCCTTGTTGCACATACAGCCTTATATAATCAATGCATATTCTCCACCTAGTGACTGTTTTTGTGGGGATCAACTCATTGTCTGTATTTTTCACCACTGTCATACCTCTCTTCTTAGGTACAACTTCCACTGGACTAATCCACTGGCTATCAAAGATGGGAAAAATCACTCCCGCATCTAGCAACTTGATGATCTCCTTGTGCACTACCTCCTCCAAAATTTTGTTCAACTTGCGTTAGGGATGCACCACTGGCTTGATACTTTCTTCCAACAGAATTTTATGCATGCAAATGGCTGGACTAATTTCTTGAATATCATTTATGTTCCAGCCAATGGCCTTCTTGTGCTTTTTCAGTAGCTTCACCAGCTTTTGCTCTAGTGTACCTGTCAAGTCAGCAGAAATAATCACAGAAAAATTGTTAGGTTCAAGAAAAGCATATTTCAAGTGAGTGAGGAGGACTTTCAATTCCACATTACGCTTAGAAGCCTCTCTTTTAGTTCCTCCTCATCAACCACTTGATCCTCAGTTTCAAGAGCTTCAGCCTCTTTTTATTTCAGGATCTTGATCCTCCACTGTGCTAGACTAAGTAATACACCTCTCTAGAGTATCCCCCACAAGCTTTTCTAACTTGTATTTTTCAGCCAATTTCCCAGCAACATCTAGCTTGAAACACGAGTAGGCGAACGCCTCATCACTGGGGTATTTCATCATCCTTTTCATCTGCAACACCACTTTTTCATTGCCCACTCTGAGCATAGACTTCCCTTTATAAATATATTAAGGATAGCTCTGCCTAACATATAAATGGCCTCCCTAGAGGCACCTCCTTTCTCACCTCTATATCCACCAGAATAAAGTCTACGGGGACACAAATTTGTCCACCCGCACTAGAATATCCTCAATAATTCCCTCAGGTAGAATGGTGGTTTGGTCAGCCAGTTGTAGGGATACTGGTATTGATTTGATCACTCCAAGCTCACCTTCCAGTTCCTGAATACAGACAAAGGTATTAGATTTATAGACGCACCACAATCACAGAGGGCCTTGTCGAATTTTCACTCCCCAATGAGCATGGTATGGTGAAGCTTCCTGGGTCCCCACACTTTTGAGGAATTTCGTTTTGCAATATGGAACTGCAGTGGGCATTTAGCTTGAACACTGTTGTTTCCTCTAATTTTCTCTTGCTAGATGGGATTTCCTTCAAGAACTTTGCATAAGCAGGCATCTGAGTGAGTACATATGTGAAGGGAATGTTCACATAAAGTTGCTTGAGCATCTCCAAGAATCGCCCAAAACATTTGTCAAGTTTCTCATGCTTCATCTTTTGAGGGAATGGTAGAGCTGGTGTATGTATACTTTCTTCAATCTCCTTTTGTACCCCACTACTCTGGCCTTTTTACTCTTCACTCTTTTTCTCTACTGGTGTCTCAATCTGCTTGTTCACCTCCTCGGTTCTAGCTTTCACCACTGGTCAGCCAATGTTTTGCCACTTCTTAGAGATACAACTTTGATTGTGTCATTTGGGTTTTTTCAGTGTCAGAAGGAAGAGTCCCAGGAGCCCCTCAGATAACAGATTTGCAATTTTTCTCATTTGTCTTTCTAAATTCCGGATAGTCATGCCCTGAGTCTAAAAAATTTTATCTGTTTTGTTGATAAATGTCTTTATGAGATCTTCCATACTAGACTGACTTGGCTGTTGTGGCTGGTATTGTTGTCTCTGCTGGTTCTGGAAACCTGGTGGTCCTTCACCCTAGGTCTAGGATTATTTTTCTTCTATGAATTCATTCTCCCACTAGGTGAACTCCATGAAAAACTTGGATGTCTTTGACCCATAGAATAATAGTTGTTCCCACCGGGGTAGTTTCCTCTATTAAAGCTCCCCACATCGTTGACTTCCTCAATTGTAGCTTAACACTCATGTGTAGGGTGTCCCAATCCATAGATGTCACATCCCACCTATGGTTGATTTTGCACCTGAGCTATCGTTAGTTGCTTGATGTCCTTAGCCATAGCTGCAATTTGGGCCTGCATTGCTACCGACGATTCTACTTGGTGCACCCCCGTTGATCTTCTTCGATCCCATTGGTCAGTGGACCATTGTTCTGTGTCTTCAGATAGTTCATTCAGAAGTGTGACAATCTATTTAGGAGTTTTCTTCATCAGAGGGCCTGCAATCGCACTATTCAACAATCTCCTTGATGACGGGTTTAACCCGTCCTAGAAGTTCTAGAGTTGCATCCATTGATCCATTCCGTTATGAGGGAACCTTCGCAATAGCTCCTTAAATATTTCTCATGCCACGAAAACTGTCTCCCCTTCACCTTGGCTGAAATTGTGAATCTCTTTCATCATCCGTCCAATTTTAGCAGCAGAGGAATATTTTTCTAAAAAACTTGGTATTCATTTCCTCCCACGTACGGATTGACCCTGTGGGTAGAATTCTCAACCACTACTTTGCATCATCCTTATGTGAGAAAGGGAATGCTTTGAGGTAGATAGCATCATGTGATGCTCCATTGTAGCAGAATGTGCTCATAATTTTGTCGAAGTCCATCAGATGGTTGTTGGGATCTTCATTGGGTTTGCCTCTGAATATGCAATTGTTCTAAATGGTCCGGATGACTCCCTATTTGAGTTCAAAATTGTTGGCATCAATGGGTGGGAGCCTCACACTAGATTGTTGTTGATTGTACACTGGTGTGGCGTAATCTCCTAGAGACCTTCCAGGCCTAGGGGATGCATTTTCGAATTCATCTTCGATCATGTTTCGGTTAGGATTGAACCTTTGATCCCCACCAACTGTTTCATCTGCAATTCTACGGGCTGCTTCAGCTGCTAACCGTGCTTCCTATTGTTGAGCTGCCTCTCTCGCAGCTAGGTTCACATCCTCTTCGTTGTTCAACATTATATTTTGAGTCGAAGTTTGACCCAGCAACAATCCACTCGATCCTTTCTCCCTTCTCAACTGCCGCAAGTGCTTGTCTAAATCAAGATCGTATGGCACCAATTCCTTAGAAGAGGATCGAGTCATACACCGCTGAACTTAACCTGTTGCCTGCACATAGATGAGAAGATCGTAAAAAAAGAAAATAGAATAAAATTGTTCCTGAATTAGCACCGAAAATAAATTCAAACAATATTAATCGCCAATCCCCAGCAATGATGCCAAAATTTGACTAACGCAAAACACAAAACAAAATTATTGCTCGCTAGTCAAAAATAGTATAGATTAATTATCGTCTTCATAGGGATTGGATTTAAACAGTATTCGAATAATTTTCAGCTGATTACTATCCAGAAAAATTAACACTTGATGTGCTAACTATTACTACTATTAACTACTAAAAATTAAGCACTTAACAGTTGATCATAAAAGACAGTAGATGAGCAACGAAAAAATATCTAGGAGAGAAATAAGGGTATTTGACTAGATAGGTGCAAGATAACTCACTTGGAATCCAATTCTTGAGTTAATTCACTCTATAATACGGTTGATTCTCACGGATTCAACCGATAGTCAGATTACACTTGAAGTTAATGTTCCTCTTTCGATTAAACGTTAATTTAAGTAATTAATCCAATTAAAGCATGGTAAACAATCACAACAATAAAATGATGGTTATGATCTAAAGGGCGAATTCTCACGAATATTTTTCTATTTTCTAGTTCGATTAACAATTCAAGAGGCTCTTCCGATTACCTATTTGAATCACAAATTTAAACTAGAGCATAAGATGTAAAGAAATTTAATATCAAACAACTCTTTTGATTAAGCAAAATAATAAATAACTCCACAAGAAAATATAACGTTCCACCAATTAATTCTATCAATTATCAAGAATCGAATCCCTAATTAAGTTATCAAAACACCGTATCTGTCAACACCCCAATAGAAATTACTCCATAACAATGGTGTATGACATCTCAATAAGATTCAGAAACAAAAAAAACATCAATTCTAATGATTCGATACAAACTCCTGTATTGCACCGATTCCAGGTCAAAATATTGATGAATTCTAGAGTCTTCTTGCTTTGGTTGGTTCTCCAATCTTCTGTAGGTCAAAAGTCCCTTCAAAATCGTGTTTTTGGTGTATTTATACCGTGTAAAAACTATAGCCTGGACGAAACTACTCTTTCCTAGCCGAACTTGGAAATCACTCTGATGATTTTGCATAGCCGCGACGCGCTAATGAGGAAATCCAGAGAGATTGCAACTCACTTGTCAGACCACTTTTGCATTGTCGCGCCGCGCCTCGCCCCATATGCGGCGCGGTAGTGGCTTTTTCTCATAGTAAATTCGTTAGTTCACTTTTTGATATCCGACTTGGTCCTCGACTCCGAACGTGATCCCCACTTAATTTCTTGGGCTTTTACCCATACTTCAAAGCTTCAATTTGTTGATTTCTCTCCAATTTACCTAGATAGCTCGGAATCAGTTCCTACAAGGTATAAAACACGTAATAAGTATAATTCACTATCATTTAAGCTCGAACACAAGTAAAATGCAGTAATTAGAGTGCAATACTACGGCTAAAATACGGAATTTTACCTACCATCAACATGCGACAGTTGGTTTAGACCCTCGAGTGACACATCCAAGAAGGGAGCTAGGGTAGTCCTAGCTCAGAACCAAGCCATCGCTTGGCGATGTCTGAGAGATATGGGACATGTGTCTACAAACAGGCCGCGACGGGCATCTCTTTTCCTCATTTTAAGTTAAAAGCTTATTTGAGAGATAAATCACTTAATACTCCACCCCAACATTAAGGTAAAATCTTAAATTTTCAATATTTATTTTTATTTAATATTTGAAAAATTCGAAGCCAATATTTTTCATTAGTAAGATCATTGAAAAATTATATTGGCGGTAACAAATGCTAAAATCTCAAAGTATATTGATAAGAACTAACGATCGATTACAATTCCTAGTAGCCGAACCAACACTCAAACTGCAGGCTAATAGTGAAAATACTGAAACTAAGAATATAAGAGAAGATACACAGATAGTAGAAGAAGAGAGATGAGAAGCTTAGACTTAGAAAGGAGAAGAGAGGAACAGACTCTTCTTCAACAATTCGCATAACACCCAACTCAGATCCACTACCCTTTTTAACATAACCGTCTTAAGCCTACAATCTACTACTCATCCTGGATCCCAAATTAACCTGGGTCTATTGTTTGTTCTCGGCCCAATAGCTCGTGGCAGCCCAATAGATACTTGTGTGACATTGGGCTGAGGCTGATTCATAACAATACTCACATCCTCAAGAAAGACTTTGTCCTCAAGGTTCGAGTCAAGAACAATGATACTTGCTACCTCCCAATCAAATAGCTCAATACGAAGGCATGTTTATGACTTGAGGAGAATATGTGATCTAGTGCAGTTATGGACCAATCACCTTGGTCATTGCAGCTCTTAGTAGACAATAACAAATTTATAAACTTGAATGCCATCAGAATCTGCCATTCACAGCGACCTGGACTTGCTTGCCATCTTTTGGAAGCAATTAGCAATAAGGTAAATGAGCGAACCAATGCAAACATTCCAGTAGCGAACCTCCACAAAAGCCTGAACTCGGTTAAAGAGAAACTGCCTTTTTGTGGTACTCGAAATTAACAATTTCGAGCATTCAATAACTTCCCAATCAGTCCATGTATTTAACAGTAACGGATTATAAGAAGATGATAAGCACGAATTCTCAGTCAATGTAATACATGCATAAGCAAACATCCTCAAATAGCTTATCAAAATGGTAATAGTATCAGCAATGCCCCATTCTATCCATTCTTCTTTAGTATAAATTCTTGATTGAAGGGAAAGATCAATTGTGTTAGCTTGAGCTACTGGAAATGGGTCCCAAATGAAATTCTTCGTGGTCACAGTTGAGTCATTTTCTTCTCTATCAAAAGCAATATTCACATGATAGGCCACAATGTAGGAAATAATGTCGAATAATTGGTAGCCGAGTAATCCATCAAGAATGCTGCTAGGAGCAAAAGTTATTTTGAAATCACTTGAAATATAATACAGGCAACACCATTTAGCATGCTCAAACCCGTCGACACGAGAATTATCCATGAAGTACTGATAAACAATTTTAGAGTCTCGCTCTCCACTTAATCCCATCACACCTGCAGTCAAGATTTTCAACATTACCAAGTTGAGTTCAGTTATAACATGCCCAGCAACCACACAATTTTCACTGCCACCAGAAAATGTATAACCAACTCCTTGCACTGCTTGATGCTTTACCTTGTATCCACTCCTCAAGTTTAATGCTTTCCACTCCTGTAATATGTCAGCAAGTACATTTGTTGCGGGCTGCATCTTCATGTACTGTTGTGTGATGTCATAATTTTCTGCAGTAAAGTATTTCACTAGTCTAAAGAGTAGTTGCTGGATCTCCGCACAAAGGGAAGTATTAAACCCACCAGGATCAAAGATAATATACGGCAAAGTAGACCTTGCTAGATCAAACATAGCAAACAAGAGTCTGGCGGCTTTATCGACCCAAATAGTTGGTGACTGCTTTGAGTAACTTTCAACAATTTCTTGGAGCGCTCTATGTAGTTTCTCCTCACTAATATGCACTCTTGATTCAAACAAGAATCCAAAAAGATTGCGCTCCTGCCCAGTTTCATGGTGGAACCACAATATATTTTTAAAATCTACCTTCAGCGTTCATTCACAGTGACAGCCTAAGAGGAGAAAACTTCCTTCAGTTTGTCGGTCTTCCCAATTGTCCATGTTACAAGTAACAACTTTTGTCTTCGAAAAATCCTCATTTGGAGTTAAAACTTCAGATTCAACGGATAAAAACGCACATGAATCAAACTGAAAATCTTGCCCTGTGTCAAACGAATTGTCTACATAACTACAAAATAGGATAGTCCCTATTATTGATTCAGGCACATAGTAGATATACGTGCAAGCCCTCACATGAAAACAATAAGAAGAATCAAGCATATGACCATCATCCAAATTGACACTTACAGGCAAAGCGAGTATTTGACAAATAGGGAAGTTACCACATGTGACCAGGCTAGGAAAAGAATCCAGAAGCATAGTGGCAAATTGACTGAGTTGTTCAGTGGTATCTCACTTAGGACTTCTAGCAAAAAACCAGGTTCACATGGCTTAAGGTATTATCTTCTAAAGCAGATTCAATCTCAGGGAACAAGACATGTGCATTTAGTAGTTCAACACTGGATAGAAGCAAGGATGATTCATCAAAAGGAATTGGAAACGAAACATTGTCTGCAAATTGGTTCCACAAAATAGTGCTAATTCCTTGTGAAAGTTGGTCAGGCATTTCGCCTTCACTGTTTGCTAAAGTTGTAGTGACACTATCAATATACTCTATGGGATCAATTTCGATAGAGTTTGAACCAACCTGAATTTCAAGAGCTGGAACTGATGATACCGATTCAACAGAATCACACCCGTCTGCTCTTTTGGACATTTTATCGAACACGTTGGCCACCTCTGAGTTTCCACGTTTGAAAGTAGAATCCAAGTCATATGAGTTTGTGACATAGCTCAAAGCTGCAATCGGAGACACAGAGATCGTTGGTGGAACCAATGTAGCATGACTCACGTAGTCAACATAAGCCTGTGAAGTTTCTACTGTACTTACTAAATTTGTGAAGGCCCGTGTCCGAAAACGCAGCTTCAGTTTATCCTTAAAATGATTCCAATCAAAAAATTGCTCGTTTCGAAACAACCAATCAAACCAAGTAAGAGTGTCACCATCAAAGTAGAAGGAAGGAAGAGGTAGCCATCAAAGGAAGGAAGAGCCTGCTCTCGGCGTTGCTAGTGCCATTAAATCGATCTATTACCACCGCTGCCATTGAAGTATGAAAGCACCAATGTAACAAATGCTACAATCTCAAAGTATATTGATAAGAACTAATGTCTATTACAATTTCTAGTAGCCGAACCAACACTTAAACTGCAAGCTAATGGTGAAAATAGCGAAACTAAGAATATGGTGAAAATAGCGAAACTAAGAATATAAGAGAAGATACACATATAGCAGAAGAAAAGAGGAGAAGCTTAGACTTAGAAAGCAGAAAGAGTAACACACTTTTCTTCAACAATTCTCCTAACCCCCAACTCAGATCCACTACCCTTTTTAAGATAACCATCTTAAGCCTACATCTGCTACTCATCCTGAATACCAAATTAACCTGGGCCTATTGTTTGTTCTCGGCCCAATAGCTCTTGTCATCTCAATAGCTACTTGTGTGACATTGGGCTAAAGTTGATTCGTAACAATACTCTCTTTAGAGACAATCACATGGTTTGGAGAGTTAGAAACTACTAAAGTAACTCTTTAATTACTGATTAATGTTACAAATTGCAAGTGATTTGGTGCTGAGTATCACATAATGCTCTCAAACAAGGAAAACGATGAAATAATAAATAAGAAAGAAAAAGTTAAAAACCTTAATAGTGATCACTATGCAATTATCTATAGACAAAACCCTCCAGCTTATAGTTACGGGACTTCTATTACTTCGAAGCACAACAAGGAAAAGGTCAAGGGAATGAACTTTCAATTTATATCGGTTGTTGGTCACTTGGTCTTCCTAATTTTCTTGCATTTTCTATATGTTCTTTAATCTTTCTTTTCTTTTTTTAAACTTTTAAATCCCTCCCAATTTAGGAGAATCTATAGTATTTTCACACTTCTCCTCTAGCGTGACTCAAACCTAGGACCTAACGGTCGTAGGTGGAGATACTTTTACCAATTGAGTAAGCCTCATTTGTTCTTTATCAAATTCAAAATGATGAGAGATACTCCATATAAAAGATTTAAAGAAGTTAATTGGAATTAGTCCATGAATCAAATAAACTAAAGACGCATGCAGTTAATGCATTCTCTTAATTATAAAAGAATATATATATATGAGCGACTAAGTATTTGCCACTTCCTTACCTCAATTGTTTAAGAAGTTATTGTTAATTAATAGCATTATTATTGTAATTAGTAACATCAACACTAAGAAATAACAAATATAGTGGCTTGTCCCAAGCAGAATCAAACTTTAAGTTAAATCCATGAATAGTACCAAAAAGACAAAATATTAAAGGAGGGCAAATTAATCAAGAAAAACAAATAGACAAAACTCATGAAAAGAATACACTATAATGAAATTTACTTAGCTAAGTCTTGAAAAACGTACCAGAAATTACAGATAACAAACTTATCTGTTATTTCCAACTCTTGTGGTTACATGAAATAACACCAGATTATATTTATTTGCTACTCTTTTTAATCAAACAGGTTAGTGTGCTTAGAGATGTAGCTTTCACCACTCCAAACTTTATTTTCTTCCTTGTCACCATAATCATGATCTTCCATGCTCATCCTTTTTTTTTTTTTTTTTTTTTTTTTTTTTTTTTTTTTAACAATCTGATCGCTTCAAGTAAAAAAGTAAAAAGCTAAGTGGAAGTCAAGGAATTTTATTACTTCGAGTCGGCACCGGATGCTTATGTCTTCAGTAGAACTCCAAGTATCGTCAATCTAATCCTACATGAGTTTAATGGGTAGATTCCAATTTAAATAGTCACATAAGAGGTATAGACGACGTCTTGGCCTAGATTTATGTTCACGAGACCCTTGGCCTTTCGAATCCCTTCAAAAATTTCATTAGAAACTATGAATTTAATTTTCTGGTGTTCAAAGGGGTAAATTACTATTTTGTATATAAGATTAAATTGTGTTTAAAGGGTAACAAGGTCATTCAACATTTGATGGGTATTAAAGTAATTCAACTTTTAACTTGGTACTTCATACTTATAATATAGTATGATGATGATATGATGATTTGTCTAGTTGCCCAGAAATTGTGATTAATAAATGTAGTGATGGTTAATAAGAACAACGTTTCTTATGATGATAAATAAACCATTTGAAACTATTAAATATTTTATTAAACTCACTTATGCATATCAATTTTATATAACTCTTGCCCCATTATGAGATGGTTTGGGTATTACCCGTCTCATTCCTATTAGTCCCGGAGGCACTTAAGACAACTAATTCTAAAAGGAAGGGATATTAGGCTGACTTGAGGTTTCAAAGGTAAAAATCTAAGGCGGCATACAAACATATAGAAGACTGCACGTTAAAGGGGAAGCACATAACACATAAGGCTCAAGTATACATCCTCAAACAAAAGCACATAACTAGCATGACTTGCACATACTTTTTGGGTCTGATTAAAGCACATAAAGACGGGGGAAGTTAATTATTGATGCAGATTAGTTTATTACATAACTCAGGTAAAAAGTCCGAATCAGGCCTGCCTACTGATTATAGCGATTAGCAAAAGCGGATCCAGCTTACAGTTATTACTCTAAGACTTGCCTAAGTGTATAGATGGGATCCTATAGGCTTGATATCTAATTGATTCAGAATGTGGCGAAAAAGTAATAACTCAAAATGAATTGTTTGAAATCTTATAGGCATGCTTCCTTAAGGGAATTAGACTATTAAAAGGAGATTCAGAATGGACAAAATTAAACAGACTGGTTACAGATTCTGCAAGTGATGGTATCCACTATTATTGAATTTAATCCCTATGAATATGGTATCTAACATTGAATGTAAATGAAGCGGATCAGACTTATTTAAGAATCCCTACATGCATGATTTCTACATGTTACTGATCTTAACACGTTACTGGGTTATACCTATTTGGGCCCTAAAACAAGATATCTAACGGTGACAAACATGCAGAACTTTAGAATGAAATCTTATAGGCAGGTTATCTAGATGTGAAGTTGAACAAGAAGTCTTATGGACATGGTTTCTAAATGCAGTTTGCAGAATTAAAATACCTTATAGGCATGATTTTTAAATGCAGTTTGCAGAACTAAAATACCATATAGGCATATTTTCTAAATGCAGTTGAATATGCAGAATTTAAAGTAGTCCTATAGGTATATTTTTTAAATGCAGTTGAATATACATAATTTAAAGTAGTCCTATAGGCATATTTTCTACCCTTGCATGCATAGTTACCCAACCCTTTTCACTAGCCAGCCCCAAATGTTTGTTACAACTTATTACAAACCAGGAATACTAAATACATTAGAAAATGCAACGAAAAGAATTACAACCAGAGGAAGCCTGATTCTTGACTTCCTCACTGAGTTATGAGATGAACCAACTCAAAATACCATTGATCCAAAGCCTTTCTCAGCCTTGAGTGTGTCAGAGTTCCCTAAGGGCTTCAATAGGACCCCGGACAGTGCTCACACCTAAGTTTCATAACCAGAATAGGGACAAGTGCAGTGGAAATGCCAGCCCTTATGTGTCCAAGTTCAGAGGGAGCTCATGGGTCCCAAAACAAGGCTCACATGAGGGTGTAGAATATAAGTCTAAGAGGAGAGTGATAGTGCAGAAATAGAGCTTTAAGAACTAAGGAAGTAAAGAAGGGGGAAAAAGGTGCTGAGAAACAACCATTAACACTTCAAACAAGTCGATAATTTCACACCAAGAGGGCAGGGGTTTAGGAATCCATTGCAAGGAGCCTATACTTAGGCATGGGCCGATTCTAGGCATGCACAATAATAGGGAGTTCTATCATGCTTGCAAAGTCAACCAGAACATACAACATAAAAGGGAAACATAGAGGTTATGATCCCATGGGGATCAAGTTTGGGTCATGCTCAGCAATATTCAATGTTGTCATGCCCTAAATAAACCATAAGTATTAAACATACTGGGGCAGGGATTTAGGATTCATAATACATTAATTCAGAATAGGAGAAAGAAGTTACAGCATGCAAAATAAGGGTGCTGAATTAAATATAAGCAGTAGGCAGACAAGAATGCAAGAATCATTAAGTAACCATGTTGTGGTTGATGCTGAAAACTTAATTAGAACATACCAGTCAAATAAGCAAAGTGCAGTAAAGAAAAGTAGCAGGACTTCAAAATATAACTTTGGCTTTCGGCCAGCTAAATAGGCCACAGTACTAGTAACAAAGCAAGAGAGAGTGTTTTTAGTATAAGTGTGAGTTTAGAACTAAAGTATTCTTGTTTGTGTTAATGAGAGAGTATGTATATATAGTAGTTCGAAACCATGTAAAATAAGGTAAGAATCACAATTGTATAGTAATTATAGAAATCAGAACCAAAATTAGTATAAGTACTCCCTTAATTTAAGAGAATCAGTTCAAACAGTAAAAACAGGTAACAAATAAGGAAAGAAATCAATGTATAGACAAGAAAATAATTCGAACATATTAGGCATAGAGTAAACTATTAGAGCTAGGTTCAGAAAAACTCTAATTAGGGAAATAGACAGTAAGAATCCAACAGCCAAGCTAAGGGAATCAATCAGATTGAGTAGAAAGTAGGGATCGAAAGTCTAAAGGAAAGTGTTCAAACTAGACCAAGAAACGAGGAATTAGAATCAATCAAAGAGAAAGTCATGTGTCAATATTTTGCATATAAATAAAGTAAGACACAGATGGTCAAGAGTCGACATACAAACCTAGCAAACATGAGATTCAAATAATACTGATTTGATGAGAAAGAGGCAAGTTTCGAACAATCAAGATGAACACAAGCACGTAGAGTCAGTGTAAGTCTTTAGGCTAAGAAACTGAGTAGAAACAAATCAAGGCAAGATAGTCACGAAGAATCACAGAAACTCAAAAACGAGAACTGGCTAGTCATGTTGATACACAAAACTTAACAAAGAATCCCCTAAAAATTAGGGCTTTCAACATAATTGAGTTAAAGAGAAGATAGAACCCAAGAATCAGAAGAATCACACAAAGGGAACAAGAAATTTCGAAAAGAACTTCTGCACTTAAATGAATAGTCTTGGACCCCAAAACCATAAGATTTTCAACAATATAAGGGTTTTAAAAAGGGGATAAATAGACAGATCAGACAAAACTCAGGCAAACAAACATTCATTTAATAAACAGTTAAAAGAAATTAGTTTTTTTTAACATGCAAACTCAAGCAGAAGGATAATACTAGCCAACACAGCAAAACATATCGAAAATCAAAGAAAGGTTTCGAAATAACTTAACAGAACATTAATTAGAAAGATAAGGAGTTTTTAAAGCGGAGTTTTTAAAGAAACTTCGATACAAATGCTTAGAAGTTCAGAGCAGACATAGATCGAAATAGATCTAAGAGAAATTGAGAGAACCTTACATGTTAGGGTTTCAGAAGAACCCCAAGCGGTGAGAAAGGCTTTGAAAACTATCGATCTAAGCAGTAGAGTCAAGAGTCAGACTCGAATAGCCATGGCTGGCCTGAGAAAGGTCAGAGATGATCGGAGAACAGCCGTAAACTGAAATCTACCAAGGTCTGGACCAAGCTCCTTCAAGATCTAACCTTGAAACCATAATAATCGAACACGTAGAAGCCATGAGAGGTGGATACAGGTCTCCGATGACCTTGAAAGCCATGGATTCGGGAGGTTTTAGGGTTGTAGTTGAGGGCGACGGCTATGGTTTGAGAGGGTTTGATAGAGGATTGAGAGAGAAAGGGATTTAGAGGCGGCGAAGTGTGTGAAATGGGATTAGGGTTAGGGGTCATTTGAATTAAAAAAGGTAAGGATTGTTGTTGGTCGTTGATCTGAATGATTAACGGCCTGGATTAAAACGGGCGAGTGGGTGGGTTATGAAGACGAGTTTGGGTCGGATTAAAAGAGGATTGGGTCAGGGTAATTGGGCCTCAGATTAGGTTTAATTGGGGTGCAAAATCAGGCTAAAATTGAAATAAAATGGGGCTAACATTTAAATAGCCACTTTTCCCTATTTGATTTATAAAAAATAGTAAAATAATTTCTGGAAATAAATTAAAGGTACTAAAATGATTAATAGTACATAATTATCAAATTAAAAATATTGGACTTAATTTTTATGAATATAAACATAATTAATCTTAAAAGAGG